AAATTTATGTAAAAATTTAATTAATACAAATAAAATAGATTATAAAAAATAATATTTTAGGTGTAATTTTAATTTAGATATTGATGAATTTAACCCCTCGTTTCAAATCCTAAATCCATCATATTGATAATTGACATTGTTAAGTGTTATCTTATCTTGCCCTGTCAAAGTAAAGTGTTTCAGATTTCCAAAACACCAATGTGTAAGTCTTGCTTGCTGCCTTACTGGATCCTTTAATTAATGGATAATGGATTCACATCCTATAAAAAATTTTGTAAAGTCACTGTAGATATAATGAAAAAGACTGACCCCGCCGCCAAATATTAACAATAATATCGTACCGCCAACTTAGAAAACAATTAAGGTGTACACTGCAAGCACCAAGCAGACGCAATTAACGTGGATGTAGAGAGTGCAACGTTTCATTAGAAGATACTAGTATCTTCTATTTGCTGTAGAACCATATATGATCACAGCCTTCAAGGTAATTAAATCTTGTTAGCTCACATTCTCTCATCTATGTTTCATAAATATTCATATTACTTTCTGTATTACTTTTCAGGTCCCAGCACTGAAATCGATTCCAGAATGTTCACCGTAAGTCTCAACTTTACTGTTTCCCTTCGTTGTTTCTCCTCTCTTTTTGGTTTTGTTCTGGAGCTCTTTTTCAAACCAGACATGCTGTGTTCCTGCCAGAACCTAGAAGGCTAGATCGTATTGATCATTCAACTTTGGTCTGAATCAATTATTACTGTGTTGGTCTAAAAACACTGATTCTGGAAAATTTTGGTCCATTTTATCTGACAACCGTTTGGTTTTCATCAACTGGCAGCTGAAGATGTATTTCAAAGTCAAACCAGTAGAGGCAAACAAACCTCAAACTGCCGCAGCAGCTCCATGCTCCACCACCTCCACCTCATCCTCCACAAGGGCTCCAAGTACCCCTAGAGTCCCCACCAAGCACAAACTCCAGTTATTAGCTCTCGACTGTCGCCTCCTGTTGGCACCCCATCGCCTCCACCCCGTTTCACAATGGCAAATTTGGCTGCTAGGCTTATAACAATTCCTCCTCAAGGTTGGGCGGGTCAACAGATGCCATCCCATCCACCTCCCAATATGGAGCAGTAGGTATCCAGCCATCCATTTCCATCT